GTCACCCGAAGCGGCAGCCAAAATGAAGTAGATTCCTGAAGCACCTGCACTGTCTGGTACATCCAAGCGCTCGCAGTAGACCAGAAATACTCTCGGTATAACACAGCAAATGGATAGAACATCCAATGCCGAACGCACTATTTCGGATCTAGTTAACAAAAAAAAAAAGTGAACTATTAAAGAATATTTAGAATTTTTAAGCAAGTTTACCGAACACTGTTATTCCAATCATAGGAAAGAGCTATAATTTTCAGAAGCAGGGTAATGCCGCTCACTTTCAATAGTTTGTCCACAGGTGCCCAGTGAGCGCGCACTGACGTATGCTCCTGCAATGTTCGCACTTGCTCGCTGATCTGTTCCAAGGAGGCCTTTGCCGCTTTGGTGACAATATTTTGGGAGAATTCAGTTAATAGCGAACACTGCTGGCGCATGAAGTTGTTATATTTGTAGAAAAGATGGCTCTCCATATAGCGTTTAAGTGCGACACACACATGCCGCACGAGTTGTCTCGAAGCGCACTCCACATCGTCATCGACCGGATTCTCATCGTCATCGTTATTGGATGGATTCAAAATTTTAAGAATGGATATCTAGAAAGAAAGGATATTTGTATTTAAACTCACGGCGGATTTAACGTAAAGTAACTACGTACAACATTGTATAGCTTGCGAAGACCGTCTTGGGAATCAAATTCGTCCAAAATTACTTTGAATTGAAAACTGAGTCCGAAAAACATGGTCGCATGACAAACACCGGAATCATACGACCTTTCCATTAACCAGAGTGCGTAATGCACCAAGTCTACGATTACATTTCTGGGCATGCTACATATGCGTTCCATAGCTTCTTCAGTATAGGCGAGGTAATATAGTGTTATCGACACGCCAGTGGCAGCGATGCTTGGACGTGGTACTTTCAGCAGCAACTAAAATGATTACATATGTACATACATATATGTATAATAAAAAGAGAAAACCCCAATATTACAAAATTTAAAATTTTTACCTCCAATCCGCCATGCGCAATGAATTCAAGTGCGAACTTCTTGTGACAAAGTAGTGAAGCGAGATATTTTAGAGCCTCAAATGCCAAACAACTATCTCGTCTATCCAAATTCTTCAAATATCCAAACACAAACTGCATTGCGCGATGTTCAAAAACTAAGCCCAAATAATCTTGATGATTGCCCAATGCAGTGACATACCGCAACATTAGTGCTTGACTGGATTCAGCAGTGGGTGGATGCAATGGAATATAAATTTTTTTGTAGTAACGTGAACCACTTCCCTGAGGGAAAGCATCACGACTATTTTCCAATAGTGTGGACATGTTAGAGTTTGAGCAGTGAGTGTCTAGGGTATTCTTAAAGTTTTGCGAAGCCGATGCCTCTGCTGACGTGGTTGCTTTCGCTTGATCATCTGCTTGCGGTGACGATAAAGATGCCACGTCATTGGTTATCCAAGGAGGGAGAAGTTGTTCAAATGAATTATTCGCTGAATTTGGCTCCGTTGGAAGCTGAGCAGCCAAGGATTGACCACACTCAGTGCCAGGTTTATAAAAGGCTTGTAACATATGTAAACGCTTTAGAACCTTTGGTATGAGGCGGGTATTGTGTTCCTTAAATGACACCGCTATTTCGGTTACTTCCATTGCGGCTCCCAGCAAACCGGTTGCATAACTTTGCAAAGGTTCAATACTATCTTCGGCCCAACCAAAAATTCTATGAATAAGATGTTCGAATTCCCCTTGGAAGACGGCTGATGTTTCCAAACCAGGTGCAATAACCAGTATTAAGCGACAAGCCAGAATATTTAACTCTAAGGAACTTTTTTGTATATTTTGACGGGTGAAGAAATTATCTCGCAAATAATCATTTACAAGCTAAAATGGATATTAAAAGGAATATAGTAAATACTTTAAAATTTATAAGTATACTATGGACATATGTACATACATTTCACTCATTTTCTGAAAGTAACATAATGCTAAAAAAAATTTTGAGTTAGGTTAGGAGGAACGACATTTTCTTCTGTGTTGTGTAAAAATTTAATAGCTTATTAGAATATCTAATTTTTTAAGGGAGCGCATGTAAACTGTAAACTTCGAAGCCAATTTCAAGCAGCAAATGAGCGATGTATATGTAGGTATGTATGTTAATACAGAAAGGTCCTATTTAATTTTTTTTATTTACAGAGTAGAAGAAAGCCTTATATAGTTTCGAATCTTTTTAAAGTAAATACATAAATATGATTTTGTATAATCTTATTTATTAATGTAATAACAGTTTTTAGTTCTAATAGGCATTTAGGTGTTTAATCTAACGATTTGAGTACAAAGCTGAATTTCGGAAGAATATGTGGTGGGGCCCTTTTATATTAAAGTAACAATATGTATGTAAATACCTTATTCATGAATACATCTTTACGGAATAGTTGCTTCAGCAATACACCAAATTGGCACTTAGGATCCGTCCGATATGGATGGCGGTCCTCAAATGGGTCGTGGTCTTTGCGCATGTAAGTTTCCTTTTCTTTTTCAAAAATTTCTGCCAATCTAAAAATATTATTTTCCAAACAAAATTCAGTTTTTACTATAAATAATATAAGTCCATTGAACTAGACAAACAATTAATTTGTGTTGCTATTTTTAATTTCGTCACGTTAGTCAATAACAGATAACAAAAATACCAAAAAAAAACTTTCTAGAAAAGAAAACAAAAAGGAAAAAGCAGCACGCTACTTCGTCGACGATCACCTTCATTATTGCAAACAAATTAAAAAAAAAAACCTGTTTGCGCATACATGTTTAGACACGGCAAAGCTGTAATTATATGTTTGCGCAGTAATTTACCTTTTCAGCACTGGCACTGGGTCGTATCCGGAACGTGTATGCTGCGCCTCCCAAATCTGCAATACTTGTGCCATGTCTTTGCTATCAAAATTTGGCTCCTCATCTTCGAACCCATAAAATGGATCAGCATCAGCAGCAACGGCAGCTACTTCATCACCTGCCTCTTCATTATCGCCCGCCACCTCATTACCCGCTGCCACACCATTCTCGCCCTCCACATTGGCTGCGACGGAGCTACTGGAGCCCTCTTCTACGGCACCATTCATCTCGGTATCTGTATCTGCACTTGCCTCAGTTGATGGTTGACCCTCATCTGCATTACTACCACCTTCACTCCCATTCGAACGTTGCTGCGTCGAATCTTCTGTGGGTGTTTCTGCCTCTGCGGCGGATGTGGGCTGAATATCTTCTTCATCACGCATTTCCGCATCACTTTGCGGATGCTCGACAGGCTCTATGTTGTTGGGCGGCATTTAATGCCAATATTTTTCGATATTTTAACACAAATCTGTCCCTAACCTTACAAAACTATTCCACACTGGCGAGGAAAAACCGAATTTTTCCTTCGTTTGACTTTGCGTGTACAGTTGTTGTTGCCGTTCACCCCTTTCAGTTTTCGGCTATTTCTTAGATATTTCAAGGTTAAACGGATATACTAATGCAATTGTAACTTATTCACTCTCGTTTATAAACAAATATTTTTGTTAATATGAACTTAATGGTATTATAAATAAAAATTGTGAAGCGTTTCAATTGTCCTCCGAAAAATGAAACTCCGCCGAGCTAGCAGCAAGAAAATGCACGCGCTTTTTTCGCAGCTGTCAAATATCAAATCTGCCAGTGCTGCCAGATATCACATAAAACTAGGTACATGGGAATGTTAAGAATACGTGATACAATTTTTTAGAAAGCAAACTGAACCCTTGCTCCGACAGATGAAGAAATTGGGATAATAATATTTCATTAGTTTTGTGTTTTAAAAGCTATTATAAAACGATTTCAAAATCTAAATGATATTGGAGGCTAGAAGTGTAAACTTAAAACGGAAGTAGATTTACGTTATTTGTAGATTTACGTTCTTCGGTACAAACTATAATTTTTGAAGGTATGGCAAGCCTACATGCCTTTTCGTTTTTCATCCATCCCAATTCGCATTTCCATTAAACAAAACAGCTGATTTTTCCAAAACAAATAAGCGAACGCTGACGTTTTAATTTATTATTTGGTAAACAAATTTACTTCCTCAAACGGCTTTTGTGGGATCGAAAAACACATAGGAACACAAAATGTCGTTTCTATATATATTAAGTTGGATAGCACTGGTGATACACATCGTCTTTATCACAGTCTCAATTGGTAAGAAAACAGTGATGTAAAGAATACTGTAACAAGCCATTTTTTGTTTTACGATAGCGGCTGGTCTCTATTACATTGCTGAACTGGTGGAAGAGTACACACAAACTGCACGGAAACTGATCACGTTTATGATTAGCGCCACGGTTTTTGTTTACATATTATTCATATTCTGCGATAATTTGCCGTGGAGCATGATACTTTGTGGCTTTGCGGCGCAAGCTTTCCACGGCCTCATCATGACCAGTTTTCCTTTCATACGGTTCCTGTCAGTACCTTTTATTGGGGCACTAGTATTTTTGATTATAAACCACTTTTTGGCATTTCAACATTTCACAAGCGTTTACTATCCGTTTATGCAGGTACGAAAATAAGTTTAATTTTGTTGTAGACAGTAGAATAACCTTTGTTTTAGGTGCTAGCATACTTCACTATATGCCTCTGGATGGTGCCCTTCTCGCTCTTTGTATCCCTCAGCGCAAATGATAATGTACTCCCGACTACTGTAAACGACAGTATGGGTAAGTTGAAAAGATTTTTAAACTCTTTCTTGCAAGAATTTAATAATTTTCATGAATGCAGGAAGTCAAGATGTAGTAACAAACTACTTTTCACGCGGGAAAAAGCAGGGTCTACTCTCGCTCTTTAATTATGCTAAAGATAGCTTATTGCCAACACGAAACAAGAAATCCTTTTAATGATGCATCATTTTGGATGCAAAAATAAACTTATTTCCAAACAAATATTTAAGAAGAACGGACTACTACTAATGAGCAATTTAGTTTAGGAGAAAAGTCTTGGTAATTGAATTATTTATTACATTTGTAAATGAAATATAAAAAAACACGATTAACTTAACCAACGCTGTGTTACTAATATTATAGGAATCAAAATGTGTCAAAAATTAAAAAAAAAAAATCGTAAATCTATAAGGACTGCTTAATACTAGTTTATAAATCCGTAGGCTGTTTCCAGAGTGTAGAAAATCTCTTTTGAAATTTATTTTTCCTGTGTCTTTACGCTACCATCCGCCATACCGAAGTATGCTTTAGTTGCCATATTTACGAATAATCCTGTTTCAACTACACCGGGTATTTGCAGCAATTCCTTGTCCACCTTTGCCCAGTCAAAATCGCACTTTCGCGGAAAGTTCCAATCCAAGATAAAATTTCCATTATCTGTAACACATGGCCCAGCTTTTGCTACAGCCATACGTAACTTCAGTTCGCCACCAAACTTATCTGCAATACGTTCTCTAATAGGTACGTAAGCCATAGGCACTACTTCGATAGGAATACCCTTCTTGTATTGGTCTCCCAAATGTTCCGAATTTTTTGTGTAATCTGCGATCACCACCAAGTCTTCGGCGCAAGAAGCAACAATCTTTTCTTGCAACAAACAACCTCCTCCACCTTTGATAAGTATCATGTTACGATCCACTTCATCAGCGCCATCGATTGCCACTGCCAGTTTGGGATTACGGTCCAAATCACCGAGTGTCAGGTTATGCTCCAAAATCAATAGGCGCGCCTGAAAGCTTGTCGGCACACATACCACATTCAAACCCTCCTTATGTACCCGCTCTGCAAGGCGTTCCACAGCAAACACTACAGTAGAACCACTTCCAATACCCACAGCTGTGTTGGTTATAACCCAATCGTCCACTGCGCGATGTGCGGCCGTGCGCTTGGCTTCGTTCAGGGACATTTCTGTTTTATGTGACTTTGATCTCGAGATATTTTTTGTAAACGCTTTCCTTGTGAGGCTGCTGAGATTCCAATGGCAGTCTATTGTGTTGAGCAAACGAAAGGCTGGCGTCCTTGTCATGTGCTGGCGTTAATTGCAATATAACTAGACAAAATATGTCCTGTTTAATGGAACAGCTAGCAAGCAGCCCAAACGAGAAAACTTAAAATATCATTCGGTCAAAAAAGGTCACAAACAGAAACCGGGTAATTCGTTATCAGTTTTGGCGAGAAAGAGAATGAAATTGAGATCAAAAAGAAATGTCATCGGGCTGGAAAAGATTGGAACAGCATTGCCACTTTGTGAGTAATTCCTCAAAACGTGAGGAATTGAGTATTTTTTGAGCAACTTTATTTTGAGGAATTTTCTCCAGATATATTTGTCGTAAGCGCCATTTTGACGATTTTTAGTTCTAGATGCTGTTATATATTTTGAAATAAATTCTTTCGATTGGTGTTATCAGTTTATAGATATCTCCTTTTGTTTCCGAGATATTGACTACAATTTTTTCGAATTTAGTAAAAATTTAGTTAGTGATGCAGTCATATTAAACTAATTAATATCTTAGAAATGGTGTTCTCGAATTTTGGATATCTCCTTTAGTTTCCTAGATATTGAGTAAAAAGTGTTGTTAATTTAGTAGAAATTTTGATCACATTTTGTCGTATTTCATACAAAGTGTGGACAAATGGCGCTTGCGACAAAATTTTACTACAGAAAATACTTCATAAACTCAAAACTAATCAACAATAAACATTAAAAAGTAAAACGACGAAAAGCAACTATGTTTTACGCAAGAGTTCTTAAATCGCTCTGCAAATTTTTGAACAAAAAGCTTTCCGAAGTTTACACTACACAAGCGGCTTGTCAAACATTATTCAAACTCACTTTTCCCATTTCGCCATACACAATGCAAAACATGACTCGTTCAAGCAAAGAATTTTAGATTTCTTCCGGTTCACAATGCAAAAGGGTTTGGTTTTCTTCGATTTTTCTCTCTTGCGACCTCATTCGGTAAAAATTCCATTGCGAATGAGGCGATTTTATCATACACAACGGAAGCGGTTTGATCAAACCTCAAAATCGCGACCAGAAATCAAAAAATTTTGATTACGGCTTGTCAAACCTTCGCTTGGTTGGTGTTTTTCGCTCTTAAGCACATCTGCAATTGCTACTAAATATTCAAAAAGTTATCGATAATTTTTTTCATTCCATCGTTATATATTCAACTAATGTATTTTGAACATGCAAAATCTCGGTAACGAATGGAGAGAACACGCACTGTTCGATCATAAGGATATTCATATTGATTCTTCATTAGATCCAGAAAGTTATAGGAAAAAAGGTTTTGAATTAAAACAAAAAATTATATCTGCATTACTAATATATGTCGCCCTTTTCTAATGCTTGAGCACTGATATAGTTGCAGTAATATTATATACTAACCAAGGCATAAAAAACAACGGTGACACTTTGTTTTAACCGCAACAACAATGTATCAATTGAATTGGAGAATGTAATTAATTTTTATACTAAGTACCTGTAAATTATATGCAGTACACAATACTCATATATATCTGTAAAAAAAATTTTCGTAATTTAAATTGTTGTTGAACAATTGTTCGGCTTTTGNCTGTAAAAAAATTTTCGTAATTTAAATTGTTGTTGAACAATTGTTCGGCTTTTGAGGTTATTTCATTTGTTTTTGAGGAATTTGGTAATTTTTGTGGCAACACTGCATTGGAATGAGCTACCGGAATTCATTGGAATGCACTACCGGAAGTACAGGGCGAGCTTTGATACAGCTCAGTTTCCTTCGCCTACAGTTTCCTTTCCCGCCCAAATTTGACAGTTGAAATCAGTGAAAATTCCAGCGTTTTCCGGCGCACAAGTTAAATTCTTAATTAATAAATTTAGCGAAATATTAGAAATGGGAAATGATTAAAGTGTTAAATTTGATTCAGTGTTTGAAAAAGTGTGTGTGTAAGACGAGAAATATTTAACATTTGCGTTTTCTTTGTCTAAATACAAAATAGCGACCCTTCACCGAGCCGACATTTTAATTTAGCGGTGATGCGGAAGTTTGATTATTTATGTGAATTTGTGTGTCCAAATGCAGCAGCACCTTGAAAAGGTTTNGTTTCTGACATTTTTATCATTTGACATATACAGCTCAGTTTCCTTCGCCTACAGTTTCCTTTCCCGCCCAAATTTGACAGTTGAAATCAGTGAAAATTCCAGCGTTTTCCGGCGCACAAGTTAAATTCTTAATTAATAAATTTAGCGAAATATTAGAAATGGGAAATGATTAAAGTGTTAAATTTGATTCAGTGTTTGAAAAAGTGTGTGTGTAAGACGAGAAATATTTAACATTTGCGTTTTCTTTGTCTAAATACAAAATAGCGACCCTTCACCGAGCCGACATTTTAATTTAGCGGTGATGCGGAAGCTTGATTATTTATGTGAATTTGTGTGTCCAAATGCAGCAGCACCTTGAAAAGGTTTAGTGGTGCTCCGATCAGAATGGAATGCAAATATATGCGTTTCGCGTTTTAAGTGCATAATAAGTATGTACATAAATTAGCCTAAAGTGTGTGAAGTGTTCTTTAATAAGTGTAACTACGTATGCTGCCAAAAAAACCAAGCCAACCGAGACAAAAAGGTATGTGCTCACATAATGCATTTATTTACCTCAAAGTTACAAACTTAAATTATATATGTAGTTTTATTAATGCCTTTTGTATATCTGTGTTCGTATGGAATAGTAGCTTATGCCGAAAGGCTGGCTTTAGTATAGTGCGGCATTCGCAGCATACGGTTGCGAAGGACTCACTGGCGCCGAGCCGTTGAAGAACTTTTGGCAAATAAACGTGCAAGAAATAGTTCCGATATTAGCAAGTCAATATTCTTATTAAGTCTCATCGAAAAATTTCTTGGCGTTTAAAGAATATAGGGAATGCCGCATTGTACTAAAGCCAGCTTCCCCACATAAGCTACTATTCCATACGATGCTATTCATTTCACAATCTACTTCTTAACAGTCCTCACCAGCTATCCCTGCTCATCTATATATGTACATACATATGTATATAATACACGAAGGGATTTTTTGTCCAAGTCATCAGATCTGCACCGTTCGTTCAATTTTCAGAAATGAGGTGTCAAATTAAAGTGAAGCTGAAGATTTGCGTCAAGGCTTTACCTAATTACCAATGCCATCAGATCCGCACCATTTTCTCGATTTTCAAATGTCAAATTAAAGGGCTCTAAAAGGCTGTAGATGTGAAATAAGGTTTTATTTTTTCGATAAGAGTTGCCACCTTTTAAAAAATGAAGTTAAAAATATTTAAAAAGTTAAACCAATTATTACAAAATGAATATCAATCGAAATGGTTTTAAAAAGCTTAGTTTCTTAACTTCACTGCAAGAGGGGTGCCACCTGTTAAAAAAAATTTAATTAAATTACAGTTCAGGGAGTAATAGAAATAAATATGTCCATATGGGCGCCAGACGAAAATACTTTAAGAAGGTGAAAGTTTGTTGATATTTTGAACAGCGTTGCCACCTGTTTGAAAAGGCGAATTCAGTTAACTTATACACAATGAAATATTAAATTAGATACATATGTCAAACAAAAGAGTGTTAAGAAATATTTAGTTTTAACACTATCTAAGAGTAATTTTGAAGTGCTTAAAGAGAGTTGCCACCCGTTTAAAAGTTAAATCCAAATTATTTATTAAGTTTAATAAATTACTAAAATATTGGTATCACTCAAAATGGGTTTGACAAGGACTTATTTCTGAACTCAATTTAAAGGCTTGCCACATGTTCAAAAAATAAGATTCAACTTAATTCATCAGTTTAATAGAATATGTATCAGCATGTCAGAAGGTTTTAGCTTGAAAATATTTTGAAGAGGGTTGCCACCTGTGAAAAGTTGAATTTAATTAACTTACACATATCAAATTATATGAAATATTATAATACGGTTGTCTAACGAAAGAGTGTTAAAAAATCTTTTGTTTGAACATTTATGTTTTGAAGGGGGTTGCCACCTGTTTAAAAGGTTACATTCCAGTTATTTAGAAGGATAGGTGGATTACTAAAGAATAGATATCATTCGAAATGGGTTTTAAAATGCTAGCGGGTCAAAAGTAGCGATTGACTCCAACAGTACTGGAGGGTTGTATATACATATGTACATATGTACGTAGGCATGCACATAAGCTTGTATAGGTTTTCCTACTAAGTTTTTCTCTTTTGAGGACGCCTAAAGGACGCCTCTTTGACAGACATCATAAAAACTAAACTTACGTCAATCCAATTAAATAGGGATTTTCTTTAACATAAGCAATACAAAGCCATCATACGCTTTCATTCACAACTCTCGCGGAAAAATTGTATAAAAACTAAATGTTGTTCTATTCCGCCTAAGCGCCATTTATTACAGATCATACATAGATTCACATGTATGTATGTACATATATGCTTGTTTTTCCGCCCGCCCACTCATTTTGACAAACCAAAGGATTTCGTCAATAATGCTAATCCACCCTATTGCCATCACCAATTCAGTAGCAATATCTTATGTAGGTACATACATACATACATATTTCAGTTGATATCGCTGACGTAGGCTTAGCTGCTATTCGCTTTAATATGAGAAAATGTCATAATACCGTTGCTGGCGAAATTTTTTCCTTCTGGCAGGCGGTTCATTATAGTGAGTATGGGAGTAGAGCTTTTTTTGCGGGCGTATATACTTACGTATGTATATGAACCTACTAGAACGACCATATTACCCTATCATTTGTAATTTGCAATTTTCCAACTCATTTGAAAATGTGTATGCCTCCTTCTTGTATGAATGTTACGAGAAAATATTTCGCTGCCTTAGCTTTATTCTTCAACTATGTAGTGTGATTGCTTTATCTGCTCGTTGTATCTATAAACAACTTTAGATGCGTTGGAATTTCGGAAGACTTTAAATAGAATAAGATATTTAAACAAACCCGCTGTCTCTCTTGGCGATATTGTTGGCTCAACTATATCCAGAAGTAGGCGCTATGTACTGAAAAATAAACTATGGTCTTTGACCATAAAGTTGCTGGTCTGCTCTGCAATTCTCCATCAGTCATCGGTTTGATGTGAAAGCAGTTTCCGTATTCCTCATCATTCGCGTTATAGTATTTATCGATATCGACTCCAATGATTGTCAAACAAATTAATGCTCGATATCG